GGAATGTGGTCAAAACTATAAGCCTTTGAAAAATTCCTCCCTATCTCTATAAAGCACCCATAAAATTCAATCCACTGCTGACAGAAAGTTTTGGAAGAATATTAGATAGTAGAACATGTCCTGTTCGGAGGGGGACGGAATATCACAAAACTGTTTAAATCCCTAAGAAGCCTGAAGATCCTTTTAAGATTACAGCTGAAAGATGGTTACATATCAAAGTAAGTGACAGTCGGGGAAAAAAAAGAAACAAAACAAAAAACCAAACCACAATATCCATTATCTTCTTCATAAACTCTATGAGATTTTATAATAATTTTTCTACACAGACTTTATTAAAGTATTAGATGTAAGGTATGTTTTTCAGAACTACATTTATACTTTAGTTTTCATACTCAACTGAATTCTTGCTAAAGAATAACTATACATTTTTTTTCCTGATAGGTGAAGACAGGTATTGTTATTGTCCATTACTGAATTTACCTTCAGTCTTGTAAAGTTCCTTAACTAGTATTTAATTCTAAAAGGTATATGGAATTAAACTGTTTCTCAGAACAAAGGCTTTGCTCATCTGAAGAATGACTGAACACAGAGCAATTGCAGTTTAGAGGTCATGCCTCTCAGTTACAAAGTAATGCTGATAAAAAAAATATTACAAATCCTCTCCATCCCGCATTTCTAAGCAGGTTATCTGGTGTTCTGTGAAAGCACTGGCTGCCCCTCCTCCACATCTTTGTCAAGGCAAATATCATGTGGTACACTAACAGCAGGGTTTATATAGCTCATGACAGTTATAGTAGTATTTATAGTCTAAAGACAGTTGTAACAAGTTGCAGCTTACAGCTTCTCCAGCGCTTTAAGAAATAAATAAATATAATCAAGAGCTTTTGAGAAAACATATTCTATGCAAGGGAAAATCATATCCAAAACAAAACATACAGCATGACAGCCAAGTACAAAGGGCAAAATCTGGATGTTTCATTTGGATGCAAACTGTTAGACTGACACATGCTGTTTATGTTGGTACTTTATCACCATGAAAACAAAGAACAGCCAAGGATTCACACTCTGCAAGCTAACTGAGTACCTGTTTCAGTTGTGTCTCAGAGTTTACGTGCACATCACATATTTCACAGTGAAATGTTTTGTTCTGAAGGCCTGTGTTTCCTTTATTCACAGGTCCTTTGCCTTTTACACCTGCCCGAGGAAAGGCTTTTATGGTTCCACTTCCATTCCGAGCTTCCAGCATAGTTTTGTGCTTAGTCCCTGGAGACATTAGAAATGGGAAACAGAAACAACTTTGGCAATTTGGTTGCATTCATTGTTTTATTTTCTTTTTAAAAATAAATCATATGAACCTTAGCTTGGTGCCATGTGCTATCCTTGGAATATGTCTGTGTTTGTCTGTATCACATTCATACCAATGTAACAGTATTTCACAACTGATATTTAATTTTTAAATTACATATCTGTAGGTAATGCACTAGAACAAAGCAGCCACACCAGGAAATAGTGGGACAATCAGGTATCCTGATGTGAAGTTAAAAGGGTGTGACTTTTCTCATTAACTCCTGCTGCTAATAAGACCTGAAATGTAGTTGCAAACAAAGAGTAATTTGGCTATTAAAGATGTAGTTGGCTTTGATTTGTAGTCCTCCTGAATGGATTGATAAACAGTATGTACTAGGTAGCTTACACTTAAATCTGTAACTAACTAATTAGTCTCCAAATCAAAATGGGGCAAAGGATCCTGTCAGCAATCTGTGGCTCCTTAATGGCCTGGAAAGAACCATTGAAGAAATGTATGTGAGAAAGCATGTATGTGAGAACCATGTATGTGAGAAACATACATGTGAGAAAAATGGACTTGCATTCTTTATTAAAGACTGGATAGTAAAACAATATTGTCCTGTTGCTTTACCTTTATTCACACCAAATGATTTCTTAACACTGTTGACTTCCACACAGGAAGTCTGTCATGATAGTGGGCTAGTACCACGTACAGAACTGTTCTACTGATAATTGTTGTATGCATCCAAATATACACTTTTTCAAGCATGCATGTGTATAAGCACACAGACAGTTTATCAGTAAAGACAGAAAAAACTTGGAGGGTTGTGTTTAAATATTCAGAATAACTTTTTTTTTAACCTCATCTTGATCAGAAAAATGCTTAGAGTCTAACTCTCATATGACATTAAATAGGTTAAAATGCTCCAGCTTTATGAACTTGAATTTTCACCAGTTGAAAATCTGGCATACAGCAAACACAGCATTCAAAAAAACTGATTAGGCTATTTTTCTCATGAATACCAACAAATTATAATTTCCTTTTTAATTTAAGTAGATTCTACAGACAGGCCAAAGCTTTTTTTAAAAAAAAAATTTATTACATCATAAAACCGTTAATCATTTTGCTGCAGGTATATCATTACTGTCTTTATGTTTCAAACCTAATGTTCTCTGTCTGCCTCTTTACTCTGTTTACCCTGTTGGTAGGTAACCTCTGACATCCCAAATCAGCAAGTGTTCTGTAGGGTCATTATTGATGTTCATTGCCACCATAGTAAATCCCAGGATTGTTTAACCCTGCTCACCACAAAGCCAATCAATAAAATGCTTAAAATAATGACTATGAATGATGGCTTTCTACTACTGGAGCTTATTGATGCTACCAGCTCTAATAACACAAAAAGGTTTAAGAAAGATGAAGGCAAGTGATTACCCATTCAACTCTCATGCAGCAGTTGCTATCAGTTGAAGAAAACAAAGGAAAAAATATGTAATTTTATCAAGTTATTAACGGACTGTGGAGCTAAGAATTCTAACTCATCATTGAACTCTGACTGATGCTCCTTCTTTCACCCTTAATTTGTTAAATTTCAAACAAAACTAATGGCATTCATACTCAGTTTCCTAGCTGACACAACCAAAACTGTGCAAACTCTGAACACCAAAGGTAATGAAGCATGAGCTGTCACTTAGCTCTATAAGCTTCGCAAGCTGCAAAAGCTAAAATGTAAGAAAATGGGTGACTTGCATGCAATAAAATTCCTTTCTTCCCCCTTTATGAAAGCCTCTTTCCTGTAATTTTTATTCTTTAAGAGTTAATGAATTCCACATAGTTGCCAGTTTTCTCCCACCTCTTTGTCCCTTGCTACAAGAGATCTAATCTATTCAGTGGACGATAATTGCAGAACACTTAAGATAGAAGGAAAAAAAGGAAGAAAGCAAACACTGCTCCATCTCACCACTGTTGTGCGCCTCGAGCTGTGAGGCAGAGTTGACAGCGACTTTGCATAGTGAACAGTACAGCAGTCTTTTTGCCTTTTCTTCCTCAGTCTCAACAGAAGGGCATGTGGTGCTGCTAGTGGCTGTCGTGGGGATTTTCTCCACTTTAGACGTGATCTCAGTTGTCATAACACTGCTCTTCCGGATTTCCACGGTGGTTGTTGTTGATATTGCTGGTGTCCCTGTGGTAACGTCTGTGGGCAAAGAGAGGAGATGGAAGGAAACAGAAGAAAAATAGTTGTGACCCTTGTCATTTGATTGTTTCCATCCTAATGCTGTAACTGCACAGAGAGCCAGATCACGCTGGTGATGTTCTGACTAACACTAATGAACTAAATCTGAACTTATTCTTTGTATTTTCTGTAGTTACAAAATACAGTACTCCCATCTACCAAAATGCCACATACACTGTCTTCTGCATTCTGTTAACACTCAGTAAATACAGAATTCATAAACTGAAATGACAGTACTGTATAACTGAAAGATAATCCACTAAAAGATGTTGTGTAAATTACCAGTACAGCAGGCAGTTAATTTTTTTTATGCAGAACTTCAGATGCATAAACTGCCATCATACCACATAATACTTATACTGGTTGAGTAGTCAAGCTAAAGTTCCAGGGTTGAAGACAATAAGATCCAACACTGAGTCAGTGGAGAAGACAGCAAGTAAGAGACAGGAGAATAAGACAAGGAACAGGAGATGTTTTTCCTTTACAGTGTTGTATTTTGTCATATTAAGCCTACAGAGTAGCAGCTTCCACCATATGAAATCTTATTTATTTCACCCTGGAACTGGGTACTTTCCAACATAGAAAGCTCATTTTGGCTTCATACATTCCTTGGTGTTAGTGATGCTCTACCTCTACTATACTTTATTCATTGCCATCTATTAGAATAGGCAAAATAACAATTCTTTGGCATATAGATCTCAGTACGTGCTGTGATGCAGGAGGTACACAACTGACGCCTCAGAGGTTTGCTTCAGATTAATGCTGTTCAACAGCTTCATTAATGAAGAACTTGCCTAATAACTTTGCAGATAATAGCAAACTGGGAGCAAGCACAAATACACTGAGAGACACGATTCAAAACAATTTTAATGCATTGGAGAAACAGTCTAGAATATTAGATGCTTTTCAGTATAGACAATTACAGGAACCCGTACTCAGTAGGATTAATCTGATCTATTAAAACAGGATGAAGAACAACAGGTTGTTTGATTGATTTTGGGTTGTTTTCTTTGTTTGTTTTTCAGAAAAAGCTTTCAGTAGCGGATAACGAGATGAACACAGATCTCTTTATATCATCATGTTATGAAAGAGGTCCCCACCATACTGAAAGTGCAAAATGAAAGATTTATGTAGTATTTTTTCTCCTCAAATCAGCACTGGAGTCTCTGTGTCCAGCCTGGGGACTGCAACATCAACAATTAACCATCACTTGTTTGCTGTTAATCACATAGCAACACAAATGCAAACCAACAAAGAGAGGCATTGCAAGGGAGGATGCCAAAACAAATTAGAGTTTTAGGAAATATCTAACATCTATATGTGAATACTGAAGATAAAGGGTAAACACTGACGACATTTTTCATATCTGTAGAAGGTAGGTAAAAATAAGAAACTCTTCTCCCTGATTCCTCCTAATAGAACAAAGACTACTGGATTACATCAAGAAAGACTTGGATTTGACATCAGGAAATTCTTACAAATATTAAAGCTTGTAAAGTCTGAGAACAGCCTAACTACAGAGATCTGGACATACTGCCTACCTGGAGGACTTGAAACTTGCTACATAAATATCTGCAAGAGCAACCCAGGTATGATAACCTTTTGGTCAATGGGAATGGGACCCTTCAACCCCTACTAATTTCTATACATTGTGTATTTTGCAATGTTTCCACATATTCTTCCAGAGGGTTTTTAAAAAAAAACAAAAAACAAAAAACATAAAACCAAGAAAGCAGAGTCTGTCATGCAAATATTCTACATATTGCCAGGCATTAGAGCATATAGCAAAACTAAGGTCCCACTCAAGGTCTTATCAAAGTACTTATTTTTCCTGAGAGTGAGTCTGCAGGTGGTTATATCCTGATGGTACTGGGGATGTGAAATGCTGATGCAGAAGGAATGGTGTCACCTTGCTGAACATTCTGGTTTTATTTATTATTTTTTACAGACCAACAATAAAGTTTCAAATCAAAAATACTATTTTGGCACATTAAGCCCTTTGTTGGGAATGATAAGTAAATGAAACCTTTGTAGATATGTCCACAAAATTTTACATTTAAGTAGCCACTCCTTTCTCACCCCAGAAATTCCACATCAATGTTGGCTTTCCTTCCACTGAAAGTTGCTGCAGGTAAATAATTTTCCTCAAAAGCCCACACCCAGCATTACATAACACTGCTTTTAAAATGTCAGTTTCTCCATTCTGCTAATACTGTACTGTAGTAGGGCTAGGTAATGTATTTCCTGGTGAAAAGGAAGGCAGAGGACAGATGGCACCAGGGAGAAGGAAGTAAAAGAAAACATTATCATTCTCTCAGGATTGATAGCGAGGTTGGTGCTCATTCTCATCTTGCAGGAAACTGGACATGTACCTCAATCACCATTATTAGCTTTGCAGTGTAAGCATCAGTATTTTGCCCAAAGCAAAATACAGATCATGATTTTTTTTTCCATAGGAAAACCTGAGACAATGAACAAAAATAAAAGCTCAGACAACTGCAGATTTTATTCTGCTTCAAATATCTGACCTCCTATATCTATATTGATCTAATATTTCACTATGTAATTATTCTGAAGTTAAGATTAAATACAATCAATCAAGTTAGTCCTTTTAAGGATATTCTGATATGCATGCATGAAAGCAGCATTTATATAAAAATTAAATCCAAAATGGTAAATGTCATCAGCATATTTTTCAAATTAAAAAAAATTCAAAGTTCAGTGCGTATATTTTGTACTTTCTAAAGGTGTCCTGTATTAATACATTGTATATTCCACTAATGCAAATGCGTTAATGACATCAAAGCATCTACAAGAAAAGCATCCGAGTTCACCGTGTAAAAGCCATGACACATTTAAATATGCAAAGCTGATCTTCCTCATATAAACTTTAGAATTATTTGCAGGAATTAAGGAAAAAAACATTTTAAAAGACATCAAGTGAGATTATAAAGAGGGAATTCAAATTCCCTCACCCCTCACCAGAACTCCTAAACTAACCAGTATGTCTCTATGTCTCTCTATATATGACACTGTTGATGCCTGTATACAGTTCAGTGCCCTAAATACAGGGTACAGCATTAAAGGTATAAGGGATTAAAATAACCCAAACAGTAAAAAGGAGTGGGCAGACATTTGAATTGATGCCTTGAAGACTGAATCAGCATTTCTTAACATTATATTATGACAGTGCTTTAAGAACTATTTCAATAATAAATGATCTAAATTTTAGCTGGAAATTCAGTCACAGTCAAATGGAAGATTTGTTTCTGGTGACGCAGGCTTGCAGCACTGTGCTATTTTCATACCAGTAGCCTGTAGCAAATATTCATTATTGCAACTGTCACTGCTTGGCTTTGGCATAGAAGCTGATTGCTAATATTGTATGGAACTGGACTCCAGCAGCAAAAAAGGGAACACTCCAGGATTCACAATAATTCGTGTTCCTGGTCTTAATACAGCAACAGAACAAAAATTAAAAATACAAAAAATCCACCCCACACTAAAATCTAATCTTGGTCACTGGCAAAATCAAAGACTTATTTTAACAAGAAGACAAAGCCAGATGAAAAACATTCTGTGAGAATTGACTCCTTTGAATATTACAGATACCATAGTTCAAGTGGAAAACTTCAAGTGTGTGATTAAGGTCCTCACAAGCATGCAGGATTAATTTTATATCCCAGTTACAAAAATCAGGAATTTGCTTTAGGCTGAAGAAGCAGAAAATTACAAGTCGTGTTTTTCTTCTGAGTATGTGAAAGTCTCACTCATCAGTTCCTGCTACTAAGCGTAAGAATTTCTTATCCTGAAACTATAAATAGACCCACAGAGAGAAAAGTGCTCTGACTTCAAACAAATCACAAGTATTTATGAATGTGTTTTTTATTCCACAATCTCAAGAGGCATGCATTTAAAAATATCTTATTTAACACATACTCATTTAAATCAAACTTTACCTTTGACATAAAAGAATTGAGTATTTGGCCCATAATGCTGTCCAGGAAAGCAAACAAACAAAAAGCCAGAAAACCCCACAAAAACAAACCACTCCTCCACAGAAACTAGAAAGCACATGCTTTCTCATGACAAACAGAACTTGATATGAAATACATCACTATACTGTAAGACCTTCTAGCATAGCAAAAATGCTAGTCAGCTGGCCCACTTATAGGAAACCCCCATCAAGTAATAGAAGTCTCCTGTACAGGTCCCTGATACTGGCACGGTCAAAAGAATCTTGGCACTTTATTTTCCTGCCTACTAAGAACCAGGTTGTAGGTTACCTTGGGCTGAGTCGAAAATCTCATGTTTTGTGTCTTCTGTGGTAATTATATGTGAAGATAAGGTGTGATATCTTTTGAATCTATAAATATAACTGCAGAGTATATAAAAAACAAAGTATCATCCCAATAATAGCTGTGACTTTTCTCTGTGCTTGGCTGACTTCCTATACTTTTATGCTAAACATAAGCATGTGTGCTAGCACATGGGCTGGCTCTAGCAATTAAGTACTTCAAGCAACTTTGACTCAAATGTATTGACTCCTCCTCCTTTATATGTGCAGAATAGAAACTTGTGTATTTTGTGGTTTGTAGATATTTGTCCCATTACAACATGTTGCACAGAAAATTGTTTTGGTGTCAGATTATGAAAATTCCAGCCATTAGACTTAGTTTTACATTCAAAACCTGGATTCAATCTATTTTTTTATAGATATATCCTTCCCAAAATGGATATCTTTTACTTGAAAGGTCAGAAGTATATGCTTAGAACTTGGACTTGCATAACATTTTGTATGAAAAAAAATAATTGTAACAGCATGGTTTAGAGTTAAGTACCATACATCACACTTTTTTTTGTAAAAAAGATCAAAATATCTGAATGACAGTAGTATAATTCATTACTTTATGATAAGACATCCTTCAGTGAAGTGACACAAAATATCGGAAATTATATTT